TTTTACATAAACTTATTTGACGTGAAACTGTGAAATACTGCAGAAATAAATTACAGCTTGAAAAAGAACAGTATTTAATGCAAAAAAAAGTTTAGCTAAATGAATGTGTTGAAATTGTTACTGTTGGATGGATTTATTACACTATAAAAGATGTTTACAGCGAGAAGTAAAAGACTGTCCAGGTGCTATTTGTTCAACTCACATTGATCTATTTTTGTCTTTTATGTAAATATTCTTATTTTTCTTATGGTAATAATAAAATACTAAAAGCTGTTGTTTGGTAAAGTACAGTTAATGCATTTCTGCAATAAAAACCAGAATTAGTTTAGGAAAAACATGCTAGGAATCTTTTTTATATGTACATGCACAGAGAACGGTAATACTTTAGGGCCGCTAGCGATACATTGAGCAAAACGAACAAATATTCATAAATGAAAACAACAGAAATTTGGAATAAAAACGAAACAAACCTGTAACTTGTTTTTTTTTTTCTAATAACTAAAAAAGCGGAACAAATTGAAAGTTAAAAAAAGATTTGGTTGCTCAAACGCTTATTGTACCATTCCAGAACCGGCAGTCATGCAGTTTTGGTATTCTTGTAAAATTTTTTTTCTGCAAAATTTTTTCAAGTTTGCCTCATATCACCGTTTTGTCTCTGCTTTAATTTACAAAGCCATATTCCGGTTTGCTTTTATCACACAACACTATACGCCTGAGATGCTGCATTTAAGTTTATGTTTAAGGTAGACTTTACTGCTGTATCGTTAACAGTCTCAAAACAGTTTTTAGAAAGTAAATCATTTGGTTATTTCTGTTAGCAAAACAAAGTTGAGACAGACAATTTGTTTAAGCTGCTTTTAGTTGCACGAAAAGCATTACCAGCCAAAATCAGGATTGACAACTGCGTTACCTAAACTATGCTCAAATTTCGCTTCGTTAAACATATTGGTAGATGTATCTGAAAGCTTTGATAGGTGAACAAATTTGTAAACATCTCGACATTAAAACATTTATGCAGCATAAATTCTATGCTAAAAAAAAAGAGCAGATAAAGATGGTTGTCACTTACATATAACTTTCGTTTTGTTGAACAAAATTTGAATGCTTTCAAAAGTAATGCACCAGTTACTTTTTTTTACCTCTATAAACACCTTTCTTATTACAAAAAAGTTGTCTAATAAATTGCTTGCAAAAACTCTTTTACTGTAGTTGAATGGGTACTTTAAAATTTATTCAGCTCTCAGTTCTTAGCTCATTTTCAGACTCGTAATGCTTCAGAAAAAATTTCACACAAAGTTTTCTTGATTTTTTTTTTTTGGAACTAAAACTTTTATGTAAAATTTTTGTCGAATTTAATAACTTATCAAAAAAAAAGCAATTTTTTGCTGCAAGTTTAAATGGTATAAAAATTAATCTTTTGATTAATCTCTAAATAGATTATCAACTTTTTTTAGCTCTGTACTACGTTTTTTGATAGATGATTGAGTCTATAGTCGAGTGTTTAAGCACTGATTATTAGGTCAGAAATTAGCTGTTAGTTGCAATAGAGATCATAAAAATCAAATACTGAATAAAAAAGTTTTTAAAGATTGCAGGTAATAAATATATTTAGCAAAAATAATCAATAAAGAAAGGAATATTTTCTTGACTTAATAAGACGTAAAATGATGTAGAATAAGCTTAATGCAAAAAGAAATTAAACCTGACTCTTTTAGACCTGCAAGTTGTTAATCTGAACAAACTTCAGTACTAATTAGTGAAAATATATTTTTGGCAATACCGATTAATTATTAATCTATAGATTTGAACATTATTTATCACTTTACAGTATGTTTCTATTTTTACTCGTTTAGAAAAAAAATTATCGTACAAGAAATTTGACAGTTTTTTGCAGTTTTACTATTGCAAAAAAAGTATACTAATAAAAACTTAAAAAACTACTTTGCACAAAAAAAGTTGGTTTTTGTTAAGCAGTGGTCACCGCCTCAAAAAAGTATACGCTTTGGTTTTATACGACTAGTAGATCACATTTATTGCACCTTTTTTTTACGTAACACTTCTGGTGTAAGATCTGGTCCAGGTTGCAACTTGTATAGAACATGAAGAACAAAATCCTGAAAAAAAAAGGCAAGAAAAAATAACTGAACGTATCAGATGACAAAAAGTTGTACTCTCAAGTTACAGAACTTTTTGCAGGTGATTTGACTACAGTTAGAAGCTTTTGTTAGTGATATTATGCAGAAACTTCAAAAGTTAACATTTATTTCCTAATACTTTGTATATAATGTACTCTGTGGTATACAAATCTCGTTCGCTGTATCAAACTACCTTTCTTTAGGTGAAAAACTATATTGACAACAAGTTGAACTATAAAGTTTCAAGTATTTTAAACTTATAAAATTGTCATCTTAGCTATATTTACTTAAATTTCGATAATTTGATAAGTTTTCTGTTTAATTAGATAACAGTAGTGCTATTGTTAAAGTTGTTGAAAAGTTCTCTGAAATCAGACCTGAACTACTGAAGGACAAATGCTTAATGGTTGCCATAAAAATCTGGCATCCCAGCCACATATGTATCGGTCACGAGGAAACTGCCCAAGAAGAGCATGAAAGTAGCTATCAACAACGTAGTGGAAACTTCTACTGGCAACTAGTTGAGCTCCATAATTCCATGCTTTTTTAACTAAATGGAACATTTCTTTCACCACCTGTTTTTTTTACTTACTTTTTGTAAAAGTAGTACATTTTCAAAAGTCAAAATTTTAAAAAGGCTTACAGTCTTCAGCATATTGCTTGCCATATTCTGTTTGTACATTCAGTGGTAGCCGATCCCACACCTAAACTGCACTTCAGTAATTCATTATGTAGGTTTGTCAAAGTTGATTGAACGAGCTCAATATTCTACCCTAATACTGCAAAATATTCTTAATCAAAGAGATTATATGCTATAACAAATAAAATTACAGGTGAAGGTAGCTTCAAACTAGATGTTTAGTAAAAGGTCTATTTGCTTTTCTTTTTCAGCTGCCTATTTTTACGACAAGTCAGCAATTTTATAACACTTATAAGATGTGACTTTTTTTGAATATCTCATCTACAATTTCATTTTTTTACTTTATTATCTAATTTAAATCTTTGCTTTCAGTGTTGTCTCTGATTTCACATCATAAAAGTGGATCAGTTGACGACAAAAGAAAAGAGTCTCAAAGGTAAGACAACAATTGGTGTGAAAATAACGGCTTTGACGAATTTGATAGACTATGATAAACAGAAGAAAAAAAAGCGCTGTTTTTCTAAAACTTTTACATAAATTCTAGCGAAATATCAATCAGTAATTGTCTGAAAATTTTTAATTTACGCTGTCAACTCTTTGGTCGAATGCTTTCTCGTCAAGCAGTGTCGTACGAAAAGCACCAGGTTCAATGATATGTACGGTTACACCAAACCGACTAAGTTCAAGCCTAAGAAAATTTTTCTTTAATAAAAGTTTCAAGTTAATCTGCTTTTTATTAAAAGGTTTTGGGTAAAATGCCACCTGAATTGCTTATATAAAATTTTTTTTTTGATATAACTATGTACCTGAGACAGTCCATATATCCCTCAAGTGCGAACTTTGCAGCTGTATAAGGAGCCATATACAGACTATGAATTCTACCGGAAACAGATGCCATAGTAACTATACGTCCATGACTTTCCTGCAAGCAAATTTGTGACGATTTTGAACAGCCGGTTAAAAATTTCCTGCATTTTATTAACTAAAAACAGTTTCTCCAAAAAAGAAGTAAATTTTAGCAGTTATTAGCCGAATCAACGTTTACTTTGAGAAGTGCCACAAATTTATGACACATCCTAACAGAACCGAAAAAATTGACGCTCATCGACTTCTGATATTCTTCAATGGAAAGCCAGTCGTCTGGTCCATAAGCGCTAAATATACCAGCATTATTCACAATTCCCCATAACTGTTGACTCTAAAAAGTGATTTGTCTAATTATCATCAATTCATAACAGCAATTAAAGTTTTGCAAAACAAAAAAAAAAATCAAAAATAAATACTATTCAGTAGTTGAATAGCTTTAGTAATTCTCCAAGTTTATCTTCAGTATTGTTACTTATAAATAAATTCCAAAAAAAGTAATTTTTCTGTTCATTGTTAATCATTTATCTTTCTTTGAGATATTATTAGCCTGTAAAAGTAAAATTTTGCAAGAAATAGACAAAACAGTTTTGATTTAGATTGCTGATAAACACAGCAAAAACAGTCTCGAAATAGCGCTTAAGAGAGATGATTAAAATAGAACGCTCCAATATATCCATTTGAAATTTTCAAAGATTATACTAAACTATTAAATGCATTTAAATTGACAAAAGTCAAGACCAAGAACAGTTCTTCCACCTGTAATTGCAAATACTGTATCAAAAAACCTCTGTTTTGTTTCAACAGTTGCTTTATAAAACAAAAAAAAAATTAGTTTGTATTTTACTCGAGACTGCAAAGTTCTGGAGATAAATTTGTAAGCTTCTGTAACGGAGTTGTCGTCAGTAACATCAATGGGTAATGTGAACAGATTTGAGCAGTCACTGTTTTCGGCAACAACTTCTGCTTCTCCCTAAGCAGAAACAGCATCAGCAATTATAAAAAATAATTATTCGAAAGTGTTAATATCAGATTGGAAGTTTTAACAGTATTTGTAGTTCTCGCATGCCCGTCATTCGGCTTCCCAACTTTTAATCATAAGGGTTTTTGCATATTACAATGCAAACAGCTGTAGTAGATAAAATGACACTTTGTTCTCACCATCTTTTGTTATTTGAATTAAATCGATTAAAAGATATTTCTATATTAGTGGTTAATTTATCTGATTATAATTAGCGCAACTTATAATTTGTAAGTCGATAAAATTGCAAAATAAATTTATCCTATTTAGTTACACACTAATCTGTTGTTAATAAATCATTATGGTATTTATTGTAGTCTTTTGTTTTTAGTACCAATAATCAGCTGTATAAAAACATTAGAAAGTAAAACTTTAAACAGCAAAGAAAAAAATAATTTAAAACAAAATTGAAATTTTATTAAACCGTAGTACTCTTTTTCGTTGTTTACTTAAAGCTATTTCTGTTGTTTATTTAAAAGAAGTATCAACAGCGACTACAACGTCAATTTTCTCTAAAAAAAACTATGGAATAGGATTTAAGAAGTACAGAGAATTTACCGGAGAGAAATGAAATAAAAAATTACTGACAAATGTCAGACAGATACAGCCATTGAATATTACACTTAAGCGATTAAAAAAAAAGAATTTATATATGCCTTTGTGTAGTTGCTTATCAACATACCTTAGATGTATAACATCCAGCAAATACTGTCACCTGGACATCCAACAGTCGTTTGACCAACAAACGACCAAATCCGGTATCACAACCAGTAATAAAAACAGTTTTCTTGTAAGCATCCGGAACAAGAGCTTTTTGTCGTAAGTATCTGAGAAGGCAACAAATCAGTAGAGCTACAACAATGTAGAGAAGCATTTTTGCGGTCACCAGAAACGTTGTATGTCCGGGTGATGATCGACGCAGGCAGGCTGTCGGCAATTCAGTGTCAAGCCGGTAGACCCATTCGTTGACCTTGTTGAATCTTGAACCTTTTAATCGTCTGTAACATTCTTTGATGCAACAGAACAATTTAGTCAACCAAAAATTTTTGTGAAGAAAAATTTACATCAATTTTGTCATTCTGTTTCTTCATTTTTTTTTTTCATTTCCTTTCCCAATTTTATTCTGTATTTCTACTTCTCATTTTTATTTCATTCTCTTTCGTTTCATTTCAACTTTTTTTGTTTGCAAGTTTTTTCAGTAGATTAGTGACGTCTAACAATGCCATTTTTTGTCACTTCCTTGTCTTTGATTGTACTTCTTTCTTTTTTTTTTTTTTTTTTTTTTTTTTTTTTTT